TTATCAAACACACAAAGAGAAAATGTCCCCAGAATCCTGAGATAAAATCTATGGTAGTCTTCAAAGCAAGACAATACACAGCTGGTACCGGTTTTGAGGAAACTACTCTGAAACTGTAGCATGCCAAATTACTATTAATATAGTAAATTGAATTAATATGTTAATATGTTCAGTGGTTAAACTATAGTAATAATGTCTTTTAAACAAAAAAATTGAAATAATTGAAAAACTAAATATTTTTTAATCTATTTTCATAAAACATTATGCTAAAATTAATTAGGAATTGAAAAGAAGACTTAAAATCTGTGGAGAAAATTTTTGGTTCATATTTCATTAACTGTTTTTATAAGAGAAATGCTATCAGAAAATTTTCCATCAGTTACTCATTACACTCCTACTCAAAAGTAGTTTGTTACCAGAAAGTATTTTATTTAACTGAACTACTGTCGGGTATATACTGACAAATGGAGTTAGTAGCATCACTGTTCGCTGTTGCTAGGCTGTTTCCTCCCTTTGACTGTGCAAAAAGGAAATGGCTAAATATACGAAATGTTTAAAAGCAATCACACAGTCAGATGGTTTGGGAACATGATTTTCATGACAATCCAAAACCAAATATACCTAATATCTGTGAGAAAGGAATTAAAAAAATTAAAGGAAGTGCAGTGTATTTCAGTGTGACAAAGCTGAAAATGACTATTTTGCATGTTGTTGAATATATGCATAAGCCACTTCATTTCCTTTCCACCAGAGTTTATTTGTGGTTACATATCTGCATAAATAAGCCAAGAGCTGGGTCGAAAGTCAAACTTATTCAACCTTGAAGACTATCGCTATGCAAAAGTAAATTATCACGCCTTCAACTGTCACTGTGCTCTTCTTCTTCCTGTACATTGATACTCTTGTAATGTTGAGTTAAATCGGTGTTTTCCACAAAGATGCACTAAAGGGAAATGTAAGTGTTTAAATCGAATGTCACTCACAAGGTTATTACTTCCCTCCCCTGTGCTTGCCTGAGCATTTACATGATGCTGACCCAAGCTACGAAACACAATATACCACAGAGCTGGAGCACGCTGCTATTTTCAGAGCAGACGCCTCACCAGGGAATATGCGGGACAGTAGCTTAGAATCTCTTGCACAAATTAGTCATTTAGACCCCTCCAATTTTCAAAGCCAATTTCCGTCCTTACAGTAGCATGCATTACCCTCTCAGAAAGATACATTTGGCATGCTAATTCCTAAAGCTCTTGCTGAGATGTGTATACTCCAAAGAAGTAATGAATCTTGAACATATCTCCGTAAGTAGGCTAAATTGCTGTTTTTGTCTTTTTTTTTTTTTTTAGATGAGTCTTTGGTGAAGCAGTTGACGCGCGTTTAAAATTGACACTGGTGAAACTCTGGAAAGCAAATGGAAAATGGGTCACAGCAGGATGCCACTGAATCCATGTATCATTCGATCATTCATTTTTTGATTTAATAGTGCAAGTGGACAAATGAGAAAACGGCTTTTTGAGAATTCAGCTTAAATTTTCTTTTTTCGTTCAGGGGTAGAAAAATGAATAAACAGCTTGAACCCCTTTCTGCTGATTGGTCAGCCAAAGATCAAACCGCGCCATCATCAGTTCTTCTGCAGTATCACGCAGCAGAATAATAGTCCTCCACTGCTGCAGTTGTATGGATTCTTAACGCATTTATTGCAACTACATTTCATCTTTTTTGATGCAAACAAACAGGCTAATGAATCTGATTAATTAATTTCTGTAATTACATTTATAATTACACAGTTGACCCATCCCTTACACCTTAACCCACCCTTAAACCTACCCATACCAACAAACCTGTCCCTAACCTTACCCATATCCCACCTCAATAGCAGCAAAAGTGTTTTGCAATACAATATGAATGTACATTGTACTTATTGTGTAGTTAATTAATTCGTTTCAAAATAAATATTTTAAACACTAAGACAAAAAGGAAGGAATAATAAATTGGCTTGGGTAAGATATGCACTTGTGCGTGGCGTGAGCTGCTGCGCACTCACACTGCAACACAAGATTTTCATAAAATATAATAACTTGCCATTTCGGTTTGTTTCTCACCAAACCCTCAGTATACCTTCAGAATGCTTGGAATATATGCCACAAGATGCATATGATTATTTTACGACAGATATGCATCCGCTTAAAAACAAAAAACAAAACCTAAAGTCACCATTCTCTGCCATTAAATTGGCAAGTGC